AAAAGGAAACAGAGATTTGGTTTTTGACTGTTGGCACAGCAGAGACAAAAGAAGGCTCGAAACGCTTTCCTTTAGAAATGCCGTTAAATATTCTGTAAATTACCCTTATACGGCACTTTTGAACGTCTCAGTGAAGAGCAGTACAGTAGTCTGTTTTCCTTTAGAATCAACACCAATTTCTAACCGGCAACTCAGTTTGCCAGTAAAAAAGTTGGTGCAACACTAAAATGAGAGCAAGTCTAGTATCAAAGCCAGAATATTGTCCATAACAGACACAGTCGAGGTGAAGCTGCATGCAAACCCCCAACAGCGGTTACGACTATACGTGCATGCATCAGTTTCCTTCTACTCAATCCTTTCTTACAGTCCAAAGAGCATACTGAAACACAGATGAAATGTTTTTAAGTTGAAAGATTTTGGAATATTTGTGCCTATTTATAAACACATCTAGGTATGTTAGCCTTCTTCACCCATGATCAAGAGTTTCTAAGTTTGTATTTTTCATTTTTCAGACAAACATGACTGCATCAAAACTGCTTTTTGTAACAGAAAAAGGATACAAAACATATGTGGCAAAATAAGCCACTAACACTTGAACGTAAAACGTGTCCTTGTATTTGGACAGGACTTTTCCCAAGGCCTTTGCATCATCCATATCTCTAGGAACTTTTATACATTCTCTTTCTTCTCTGGAGAGGGGAAAAAAAAAAACAAACAGGAACAGTGGTAAATATCATCAGACAGTATAGTAAAATTACTTACTGAATAGCTAGATAGATACACTACATCACTAAACTACAACCTCAGCAAACAAACCACATGATAATTGTTGTGACGTTCTCAGATGAACACTTAAGATTTACAGTGCGTTTCGTATTAGAAAATCCTCAATTTTAGATATTAGCAAAACATTTTTTAATTGATTACAATAATCTGCTTCGTTACTAGGATATTATTTTTTTTCTTACCAAGTACCAATCAAAAAGAAATAATTACTCAAACCAAACCTTGGCAAATGAACAACAGCCAACGTTTCAGCCAAACCCAACTGTAGCTACCTCAACTCCAGGGTCATAACATTTGAAGTGCAGCAAGAGTGGCAGAGCTTTACCTCACAAACAAACAAAGCTTTAAGAGCAAAATCTCATGTGACACCTTAATCTGGTGCAACCCTGGGCAGCACAGCTGAGTGTCCTCTCTTCCTCTGTATCAGACTTAGTGATTGGACTGTTGCAAACTGAACTTGTTGAGCAAGTTAATCAGACAGAAAATTAACTACTAAAAGAAAAAAAGAAAATTGTCAGACAAGCAGACTTCCATCTTGTCAAACTATCTACCTTCCCAAAAAGAGTACTAGATGCAACGAAAAGGAGGAGAAGACGAAGCTAAGATATGAAGGAAGAAGGATGCACAAGGAATTTAAAAATAAACCTAGCATGTTTTGGCTCTCAACTGAAGCAGGTTAAGAAAGTAGTGAGCCACCATTGCTAATGTGACAGGAAGTAACTTCTCAAAACATGGTATCTCAACTGCACAACAGAAACCCTAGGTCAAGTACAACTCTGTTTACACAGATCTGACGAGTTAGTATTTCAGTGTTAAGCTTTGTATCCTGACATTCTGGGTTATAAACTCAAATTCCCATTTAAAAAAATAAGGTTATGTCTATAATAAACTCATGGCAGTTTAAAGATCACTTAACCTCATGTAGGCTCCTCTACAACTCAATACTGAATGAAAAGCAAATAAATTAGTCTTTTCTGACATACTTACTCACTAAGTTGTGGGAAATTTTTATATACCAGGAACATAAGGAAAGCAGCTGATAAGAAGATGGACACTAAAATAAGTAGCGATGTCCGAGCTGATCCACCTTCTGTCTGAGCTTTCCCTGAAATGGAACAAAAACAAAGTTAAAAAGAAAACAAAACAACAACAAGAAAACAACATCTTACAACAGATTTCAAACTCGTATTTTCAGGAAACATTAAGGTAAGCTCTCTATGGACATGATCTTCCCATCAATGCTTTTATTAACAACATATACAACAGATTTCTCACATTCCCTGAAAGTTTTCAAACAAATTTGAAGTTCTT